CAACCGGAAACAGGAGCCATTTGCCTCAACGTTAAACGCATCGAACATCACGTGTCAAGAAAGAGAGCGAACACCAATTTTGGGAATGGTGTCTCAGTTGGGTGGCGGCCACCATCAAAACAAACAAACAGCAACAAAAAAAAAGAAAATGAAAACAAGTGAACAACAACAACGACTTTAATCACAACTACACTCACACAATGCCCAGCGAAGGAGAAAAAGTGGTTGTTTAATTTTGATGGGGGATTTCCTCTCTCGGAGAACTGCGTTAACTGAGTGATGGGGCGGAGTTAGTTGAAGAGAGATAGAATGAAGGAACAATAAAGGTATTACAAATAATGGGAGATTTCTTAAATAAGTAAAGGGTATTTTTGTAGTTATGCCATAAACCCATAAAGTTGGTGTCTTGAATAAGAGCATAAATATCCCTCCTTTCAATAATGCATATTCTTTAAAATAGATGGCGCTAGTTTATTTTCGTATAAGAACACAGATTTGTCCGTTTTCATCCGGAATGAAGCTTGCCCGAAATGTGAGATTGTGTGTGTACAGGGTGAGATAAACAAACTGCAACAATGCCAAACGCAGTTTTTTTAATTGTATTGAGTGAAAGCAGAAAATGTCGGAAATAGCATCAAATTTAAAAATAAGTTTAGATTTGTTCGAATTGGTCACCAATGTAACCGTCACACACTGCCCGAATGTTCCCCTGCGGTATTGATTCTGATGCCACGGTCGATTAATACGAGCGGAGAGCGACCATCGGCTGTTATAGCGGCCCACACCATCACAATGGCCGGAGCTTGAGTTCCGGTGGACAACCGAACGTGCACATTTTCAGCTGTCCTCTTTGGCAAGTAAACACGATAATTTTGTTTGTTTACAAACTGCTGGACAACGAATGTTTTCTCATCGGAGACGGAGAAAACTAAATTCGGCAGTTCACCACTTTCGGCCAAGCGAAGTAACAGTTTAGCTTTTTGAGTCTATTTCCTTTCTGTTGTGGTGTAAGTTCTTGCACTTTTTGGAATTTAAATGGCTTTACGCCGAGCTAATTCTTCAATATTTGCCGAATGGAATAATGCGATATGTTCAGCTCGCGAGCCATTTTGCGGCCACTGCGACGCGGGTTTCGATCAAGTCGCTTCTTTACATTTCGAACCATTTCTGCTGATGTTGCTTTTTTTCTCCGTTCCACTTCCTTGACGTCGGGCTACGCTACCAGTATCATGGTAACGATCGATGGTACGAGACACAAGAGATTTATTCACATTTAAATGCTGGAGTGCTCTAACGATAGCCATTTGTGGTTTTCCAGCCAAATATAAAGAAATCACACTATCACGCTTGAATTTCATCAGGAATAACTTTTTTTCTGGAAAATTCTCACCATAATGCTTTTGTACGCTTGTAAACAATATAATGAGATGTCACTGTAATAATTCTAAAAGATGTCGGACGAGTGGCTTAGAAAAGACAGCAGTCTGAACTTGGTTGCAGTGTTGCCATCTCACCCTGTATATATATATGTGTGTGTAAGGACAAATAAGTTTTTATGTTACTGCAGGACAGGGGGTGATCGTGTCCAAAATCAAAGAAAAGATAACAGCAGAAGCAATAGACCAATCAATTTTGTGCATAAAATCAAAAAAGAAAAAAAAACAGTGCTACCACATGCTCTGTTTTATGCTCCATTTGTTTTTGTAGGAGAAAATACACATACATAGAATCTGCTCGTTTTCAAACGAATTTTGCTCCAGCTCTTAATCGAGGGAAGCATGATCGGCCTTATTCGACCGAAACCCAACAATGTTTTGCTCGTTTTGGTTTTTCTACTCCCAGGCGTTCTTCCGCATCGACATTGACTTTGATCATTAAATAAGATTTTAGTATTGGGTAGCTGGCCCTGTCAAGCGTAGTTATGAAATCTATCCATTTCCAGCCAGACTATGAGTTAATAAGGCTCCAAAAATTCTGGCTAATTAATTATCATAGAGCTTTCCGATTCCTTTCTTTTTTTAAAAATTTATTCAGAGTTAGTCTTTGTAGGTTTACTGGATTATGTTTGCATTAGCAGTATCGACCAAACTAAACGTTGTCATGTTTTGGCTAACTTTGTCATCCTCTGCTAAAGGATTTTTTGGGTTCCGTTTTGTTTTAGCGGTACGCCCCTCATATTCAAGTAATTGCCGTCGGGGAATACCACGCAGTACAATAAATCAGAAAATGTTACGTGGTTTTCTCGTCAGGACCCCCTAAACCTTATGAAATAGAAAGGGTACATATTCCCTTTCCTGTGGTGTAAATCAGATGTTTGGAACATTGGAATGTTTATGTTTAGATCTTCTGCGAGGGATCGAGGATTCGTGGCATAATCATTCGGTACAGCGGTTCATTGTAGAGATATTTTTTCGAATTCGGCATCTCGCGGTAGGTAAGTTCGGGGACAGATGTCCAGGCTTTCTAAGATTGATCGGAACTTGTTCGGTTTTATTCGTCTTTTGCGAGAAATCGGGGACTCGTGGTATAATCGTTCCGGTACGGAGCAGGTCGTATATGTCATTTATGTCTTCGGGAGAAGATGGCCAGGTCGTCTCAGATTTGCGGATTCCGCAGCTCGCATTTCGTATGTTCAGGCCTGTTCAGATGAATCGGAACTCGTTCGTGTTCGCAGCTCACTGTAGGTATGTTCGGCAGCAGATGTTTAGGCATACTAAGAATACGGGTTCGGCAGCTCACTATGAGTATGTTCGGACTTAGTCTACGATGTCTAGCAAATCATAATAGCACTAGCTAGCACACTAGCACTGCGGTTTATGACTACATTTAATTCACTACCAATGTTTGAGCTCCTTTCGGAACAACGCACCGAAGGTCGTGTGGAACAATGATTTGAAGCCTCTACTTAATGAGAACCAGTTCAAAAGCATTCCCAGCTAACGATTCTGGTTAATCGGAGGACAAGAAATTATTCAAAGAATCACAAACTACCCCTCGACAAGCCCCCTCCCAGTAGAAAGCATATCATGGTAAACCAAACAGTATATGTGATATTTGGAGGTGTTACAAACGGAATGACAAACTTAATATAGCCTCTATACTATGGTGCAGGGTATAAAAACAGACAACACGAAAATTGAATGAAATACTATGATATCTTATTTAAATATTCTTCTAGATATCTCTCTCTCTATCTCTTCTCTTTGCGAGCTCGGTCCGACTTCGAACGGAAAGTTGAATGAAACTTCCAAATTCGGATGTGTTTTCGGGCCGACTTCTGACCGAAATTCGAGTGGTTGACCTGCTGTCGGTCCAAAGGGTCGGATGAAAGTCTGAAGTTTTAGCTGACTTTCTAACCGAAGTCGGACCGAATTCGCAAGAATATTCGTGGGGAATTCGGAAGGGAAATGAGAGAAAGTGATATCGTGCACATTTCTGATATTTTTGCCGACTTTCAGGTTTCGGTACTAATTCCGAAGAAAAGTCTTATGAAATTCTAATGAACAACTGTCATAACGTATTGACAAAAGCAAATATAAATAAAACAAGTGAAAAAGCCGGGCCGAACTTTGAATACACTCAACCATATGGAGATTTTCAAAAAATAAATAAAAATATAAATCGTTATAAATTATGAGGAAATCTTAAAATACCGTATATAGGGAGTTACCGTTATTTTGGGGTTTATACGAAGACCTGCAATTTTCTAGGCTTTAGTACACATTACGAAGTGAGATACGAAATTTAACAATTCCGATGAATAATGTAGCTAAAATCATCAAAATACAGAATATAGGGAGGTACCAATATTTAGGGGCTATACGAAGACCTGCTTAGACAATTTTCTGTCACAGGCTGTAGTTCTCATTAGGAACTTCAAATACGTAATTTGAAACAATTCCGGTGAATAATGACGCTAAAATCATTAAAATACCGAATATCGGGAGGTACCGTTATATGGGGGCTGTGCGAAGACAATTTTTTGTCTCAGGCTGTAGTATCCATTACGAACTTCAAATACCAAATTTGAAACAATTCCGGTGAAAAATGTCGCCAAAAATATCAAAATATCGAATATAGGTAGATACACCTAAACGTGGATCAATATAGCCCATTCTCAATACCAAAAGTACTGCAGACCAAACACACATTTGAGTAAAATTTTATTAACTTACTTCAATTCGTTCGGAAGTTAGACTGATTTCCACAGACGGACGGACGGTCATCGTTAAATCGACATAGAATTGTATGCTGTTCAAGAATATATATACTATAATGTATATTCCGATGTAACACATCGGAATGACAAACCTAATGTACCCTCCATACTATGGTGGAGGGTATAAAATTCAGTTAGCTAAATATACTTCAGACAAATTGACCATTTTAGCGAACGGGTCGGACACCGACATTTGGTGCCATGGGTCTTCTTTGATTTTGTATAGTTCATAAATGGATAATATTCGCCTACTTCTTCAGTGGTCTATTATTGTTGTTATCCTGTCATAAATATCACTATCAATTTGCCGTGAAATTTCTACGATCGATACCAAGAATATGCCCACATAAAGGGATTTAAACATTTTCATAGTAGCCGAATATTCAATTATGAAAGAACCCATGGATAATTTTTGTCCGCATTTCCGCAAAAAACATTACTTTATACTGAATTTTTTAACAAATAATAATTCATATTTTATGTATAAATCTAAATAAGTCGTATTCAGTTTTCCCACGATTTTTTTCGACATGAAAACGTGGAAGGCGACAACACTGTTACTAACTTCAATGATCTTTCTTTTTCTCCACCAAACAAATAAGCGCAATTAAGTGAGCACTTAACCAAAGAAGAGATAGTTGCATAGATTAAGAGAATGGTTGGAGCCTAAAACAACATACCCAAATGGGAGAGAGCCCTCACAACACACACACACACACTCAAGCGCCCACGATTAACTTTGGTATTCTCGACTCGGCCCCAAGCAGCAGAGGAAGAATTTCAGGCGAGTTCAGTAGACAACGGCTCTTTAAACACAACGTTCGAGTGTTAATGTGAACGGGTCCAACTGTAACGCGCTGTGACGTGTGGAAAATTCTATTAGACACCGAATAAAAGAACAACAATAAATTAAAAAAAAGAAAAATAACAAAGGATTGCAAATCGACAACTGAGAAAATTAAATAAAAAACAACAAAGAAAATAATATTAAATTTAAAAGAAAAAAGAAAATAAAAATTACAACGTTTTTTTAGTTAGTGTCATACAAAAGCACAACGTATTAACAAAATAATAAAATAAAAAAAGAAAGAGAGCAAAAAACAAAATTGCCAACAAATACAAAAAAGTGAAGAAAGAATAAATAAATCGTGTAATTCAGAGGCAAAGTTCATCAAAAGTTTGAAACAAAGCCAAGTGTGAATAGAGTTGAAAGAAATTTAGCTAAAATAAAGGAATTAAATGTGAGTTTTATTAGAAAAAATAAAAATTATAATTAAAAAACGAGAGCACAACTGGGTTTTGGTGGCTCGCGAGTGAGAGAAAATCGTGAGAATATCTTCTACCTTAGGTAGTAGATTACACAAGCCAAGCGAAGCGAGGCAAAATATCGGTGAAAACGACGAAAAAAAAAACAAGAAAAACAATAAAGTGCCCTTAAGACCGGCTATAAAGTGTTGTCGGCCAATCTGTTCGGGTGTGAGTGCGTGCGTGTGTTTGGAAATAAAATCAATCAATAAAAATAGTGGTCGCCCGCCCGTCCGTCCCTCCGTTTGCAGGGAAAAGGCAACAACAAATTAATTTCGTTTCAAGTGACCACAACAAAAGATAAAGAAGTGCCCTCCACGAAAATTTTTGTTAAAGTGTCGTGTATTCAGATTAAAAATATATACAACAACAACAACATCAACAATTCCTCTCCCTCTCTATTTCTCGTCGAACGTACATATCTTATCTTTTGTCAATTGTATTGTTTTTATGGGGTCCACTCTCTCTCTCTCTCTACCTTTCAATCGTGGGGTGTAAGCAAACTCTCCTAATCTCTCCGTTGGGGACACTTGTTTCAGTGATGCCAACTGAATAAATCGTTAATTTGTGGATTTTAGATATTTCGTGTCTAAATGAAAAATGTCTTTGAAAAGTGACAACAAAATTCGAAAATAAGTTTTTCTGAAAGAGGGTTTTCTCAAATAATTAAAAAAAATAATAATATCAATGAATTCACAATTAAACACAGTTGCCGCGGTCGGCTAAAAAAATATAAAAATTCTGAAACCACTCAAGTATAGTAGCAACCATCGGTTTTTTCTTGCATTTTTTTGCTTCGATTTAGTAAATCCATGTCTATCCCGGATCCGAGAATTTTTACTAAATTAAACTTGTTATTTCAGAATTTTTTAACTGACCAAGGCAAACTTTATATCATTGTGAAGTATTTGAAATCCTCTGGGGAATTTTTCAAAAAATCCGAGTGTTTTTAGTAAAATAGAGAATTCGAAGAACGAAAATTATTTATTCAGAATTACACAAAATATCCGCGTTTGGGCCGTAAACGAGACTTTTTTCGAGGTGTTGTGTGGGTCCATGTGTTGCCTTATCGATATGTTTAGATAGAAGAGAATTTATGATTTGGCCCAAACTCGGTACATCGTAATATTATTATTAAGCTTAGATCGAGTTCGGAGATGGACAATATCTGTCCATTCCTTCTGGTACCTCCCTCACAAAGGGGTCAACATTTTTCTTCAACATTAGAACTCTTTTAAAATATAAAATAAGAGTTTCACAAAAAATAATCGAACCAATCCACCGGTTCATTTCTCGAAATAATGTTGTCGATGAAATGTTCTTTCATAAGCCCGCATTATGACAAGTGGCTGTTGGAACCACATTTCGTTTACATCCATCTCTTGAAGGTTTTGCTACAAAACGTCAACAAAATTGTCCGGAAAGTCGGTAGACAATGTCCACCTTCTTGCGCACGTCGACAAATCGATAAAGAAAGGTCAAAGTCGCACTGGGCCGACTTTATGATACCCTACACCATTTTGCATATGCAGGGTGAGATAAAAAACTACCACAAAGTCGAATAGTTTCTTTTGTTTTAAATTTTATTGAATAAAAGCAAAAAATGTCGGAGATTTTTTCGAATTGATCACCTTTGGCACGAATTATGGCCTTCAAACGGTCAATGTAACCGCCAGTTTCTCTGCGGTATTTTGGCCCATTCCCGGCGAAGGTGATCGACACTTTGGTATTTTTAAGTGTCAACCTTGCTTTCCAAAATACTACAGACTCAACAGTCCAACGGATTGGTATCTGGAGATTTTGGTGGCCATTGTGCGCTGGAAATGAAGCGAGGAACCTCATTTTGTAATCATTCTTGGGAGGCGCGTGCTGTGTGCGGTGGTGCTGAGTCCTGTTGGAATGTCCAAGGTCTGCAGTCAAAATGTTTGCGTGGCCAAGGCTTTAATACACCCTCCAGAATATTGTCGCGACAATATTCGGCATTTATTCTAATGCCAAGTCGATTAATACGAGCGGAGAGCAACCATCGGCTGTTATGGCGGCCCACATCTTCACCATGACCGGCGCTTGAGTTCTGGTTGCCAACCGAAGGTGCACATTTTCAGCAGAACTCTTTGGCAAGTAAACACGATCATTTTGTTTGTTTACAAACTGCCGGACAAAGAATGTTTTCTCATCGGAGAAAACCAAATTCGGCAGTTCACTATTTTATTTTTGTTGCGGTGTAAATTCTTGCACTTTTTGGAGTTTTCAATGGCTTTACCCCGAGCTTATTTTTCAATATTTGCCGAATGGAATATTGCGATAGGTTCAGCTCACGATCTATTTTTCGGTCACTGCGACGCGGGCTTCGATCAAGTCACTTCTTAACTTTTCGAACCATTTCTGCTGATGTTGCTGTTTTCTTCCGTCCACTTTCTTGACGTCGAGCTACGGTACCAGTGTCACGGTAACGAGCGATGGTACGAGACACAAAGGATTTATTTACATTTAAATGCTGGAGTGCTTTCACGATAGCCACTTGTGGTTTTCAAGCCAAATATGTAAAAATCATACTATCACGCTTGAATTCCATCACGAATATCTTTTTTTCTGGAAAATGCTCACCAAAATTCTCTTGGACGCTTGTAAACAATATTAGTTTTTCTCCAAGTATCGTTGTTACGTATGCGCTCCGTTAGGGTTGTGGAGGAGAAACTTGACAAATCGGATGAAGAATATATATGGGAGCTATAGTTGAATCGATTTCCACCAAATTTGATACACTATATGTGCTAAATTCGGGCGAAGTTAATTTTAACCGATTATCTAGAAATTTCCTTGGTTGAAACAACTGATTTGTACAAATTTCATCTCGATAAGGCAATAAATGTGACCAAACTTTGTTTACAAAAAATACATGGACAAACGGACATGCATAAATCGACTCAGAAGTCACCTGAGCAGATCATCAGACCTTTTAAAAATTATCTTTTTTAACAATTTAAGACAAAAATCATATTTAAAAAATTTAAAATAAATTCCAAAATGCTATGAAAAATGCAATTTTTTTATTCTCTTAAAGGGATTACTCTTTATATGGTTTGGTCTTTTATGCCTCTGGTCTAAAATTATTATTTTTATTAATTTTTATTTATTGATTTAAGAGGGTAAAAAAATCGGGTCACAAATTTTCATGGCGTTTTTTTACACTGGAGGGTAGGCAACATTTGGCAAATTTGTGCCTTTGTGAGGGGCTCTCTCTCTACTCTTTTATGAGAACAATGATGGGTATTGTTCTGTTAGCAGTACCGTCATTTTGCCTCCTGCCCTGCCGCTCACCAAAAAGTAAATTCCCCAACGAATGGCTTGGCTATTGTCACCCTGCTGTGCAATGAAAATGCACAAATTATTGCTATATTTTATAGTTATTTGAACAGAATTTAACAAAACCAACCAATAAATTTGCATTACATTAAATGCGAGATATGGCGGCGGCGGTGGCGGTGTTGTAAAAGAAAGAACGCAAAAACACGCTACCACCAATCGCCCACAATTCTATAAGAAAAACAAAAAAACAATGAAATAAAATAAATAAATCACAAAAGCAAAAAAAAAAAAAAATTGAACATTCTTGTAATCTGTAAACAAAGCTCTGCCAGAACAACCGAGGAGTAACAAAGTCAAGCTGCTCACTTAAAGAGTCAAGATTGGCTGGCCTCCTTCACAAAATCCAAAAAAGAAGAAGAAAACGAACGCCAATTTTAATGATTAAAGACGGGTGCCACAGCGTAGCCTCCTTCTTCTTGATGTATTGCACTGTGTATGTGTGTTGGTGTGTGCGCGATCGTGTGGCGTGTAAATCGCATTAAGAAGGAATTTATTTATTTATTAAACATAATTTTGTCTTCCGCCTGCATTCTTTAGAAATAACTACCTAAATAAAAACGGCAAATATTGCCCACGCTTCGGAGGGGGGAGAGAGAGAGAGAGGGGGAAGAAGCCATCCACCGTACTCTGTGATTAATTGACAAAAGATTGCATTTCCTGCCTGAATAACTAGTTACTAGTACTGCTGTACTGCTACCACAACTCCATACAGATTCTCCCACTCCCTCAATGATGTGTCCTACTTAATAACCTATTGCAATAATAAAAACGAAAACCAACAGCTACAACCTATCATTGACTGCTTTTATAATCTCTGAACAAAAAAAAAAAAAAAAAAAAAAAAAACGAAATAAAATAATAATGAACCACAATTATTGTCTTCAATGAAACGCAATTGTATTATTACAAACCATACATCTGTCTATCTATCTACCCCGCAGCTACCACCAACATCATCAATATAACAACAACAACTGTTATCAATACCAAAAGTGATCAATACCCATAGCAACAACAACATCAGCAATAAATCCCCCACTAACTGCAATCGTTGTGTCGTTGTGCGATTCTAACTAGGCAAGTGCGGATCCTATCTGATCCGATCCGACCCACCCATCCATATTCATTCCACATGCATATGGGGAAGTTGTGCAAATATTTAGACAACAATAACAACTAAGCCTACCAAAAAGCAAACGCGGAACCTGTCATTGCGTCTCCTCAACACAACCACCGAATACCGGCCAAATCATCACCAAACTCAACACCTGCTGTCTATCAACCTCTGCTATTTGGCTGCTGCTGCAACTAATTTTATTATCTTTCCCCCTCGAACCCGAACCCCAACATCATCGTCATCATCTTCCAGTTTGACGTTTCATATTAATCTGTCATCTGTTAAACATGTAAGTTTTGTTGTTTGATTTTATCTCTCGCTCTCTTTCTCTCTGCCTCTCTTTTTCTTCTTTATTTCTTTACAATATTTGTTTTATTTTTTATTGCCTTGTTATTTTTCCCCACATAGCCATAGCCATAACCCCATAACACCCCACTCGATTACTGCGACAGCTTTCCACTGATATTGCACAAAAATTTTCCTTAATGACTTGCCAAAAGAGCAAAACAACAAAAAGAAACAGACAAACAAAACAGAAATACCACCACAGCAAGTCAAAGAAAATAGACCTATAAATTTTTCGCTAAATCGTCTCTATTTCTAAACATTTTTTTGCAGCCGCTGCTGCTGTTGTGGTATTTGGTGACAGTGATGCCAATGGGTGTTGATATAATGTGGACAAGTTTTTGGTAAAATTGAAACAAGCAATGAAACAAAAATTAGGTAGAGTCGAATTTTTAATGTTTTCATAACTTCGGAGTATCGGAGTTCAATATTAGAAAGAGTTTCATGGAAACCACCGTGGAAATGAGGGAATATTAATTTTATCATTCCGTTTGTAATATACCTGAATATTCGACGTAGACCCCATACAGTATATATTCATTATCTGCATAAAATGCTTTGAGGATGTTTGTCTGTCTGTTGAAATCACGATACAACCCACGTTATTTGGCGTAAAGCTTTGAAATTTGGCAGAATATTTTAAGTTGTGTTTAGGATGATTGGTACATTGGTAATTGATATAGCGCCGATATCTCCTGATATTCGGTATTTTTATGGTTTTAACCAAATTTGTTAATAGTTTTGTCTAAAAATTGACATTTGAGGTTCGTAATGGGTTTCAGGACAGGATAAAAAAAACTGCGACAAAGTCAAACACAGTAATTTTAATATTTTTTAAATTTAATTATATGAAAGCAAAAATGTCGGAAATAGCATCAAATTTTAGAATAAGTTTAGATTTGTTTGAATTGGTAACTTTTGGCACGAATGATGGCCTTCAAACGGCTAATGAAACCATCAACCGCTGCCCAAATGTTGTTCTGCGGTATTTTGGCCCATTCCCGGCGAAGCGCTTGCTTGAGGTGATCGGCACTTTGGTATTTTTTAGGCAAAGCGAAGCACCTCTTTAGCTCTTTTGAGTCTATTTTCTTTCTGTTGCGGTGTAAGTTCTTGCACTTTTTGGAATTTCAATTGCTTTTATCCGAGTTCATTTTTCAATATTTGCCGAATGAAAAATTGGGATATATTAAGCTTACAAGCCATTTTTCAACCACTGCGACGCGGGTTTCGATCAAGTCGCTTCTTCAATTTTCGAACCATTTCTGCCGATTTTGCTGTTTTCTTCCGTCCACTTTCTTGACGTCGGGCCACACAGCCAGTATCACGGTAACGAGCGATGGTACGACACACAAGAGATTTATTCACATTTAAATGCTGGAGTGCTCTAACGATAGCCACTTGAGGTTTTCCAGCCAAACACAAAGAAATCACACTATCACGCTTGAATTCCATTACGATTAATTTTTTTGGGAAGTTCTCACTAAAAAAGAAGAATTGAACCGACATATTCCATATTTACATTACATCTATGGCTTATAGAAATGTATTTAATTTCCCTTTTGTGGGGGTAGTACCTGAAAGAATGGTCCGATGAATTCCATATTCACACTAGAACTAATGTAGGTGGATGTAATGTATCGCGGGAAGTTAGAAGAGACATCGAATAATTATTAATTTTATGACACTTGACTTATTTACAATTTTGATCCCCTTTTGTGGATGTATCAAAAGGAGAGGGTCGTAAATTCCTTATTCTAGGGTTATAAGTAACCATATTGTCGCATATATACCATATTTACTCCAGATCTTGTGTTGACATAACTTCACACAATATCTTGCGCGAAATTTGAAGACAATCGGTCTCTGATTTCTCAATTTATAGGAATTATGATTTTTCAAAATTGTGCGGAAGGTACTTGATGAAGTGAGCCGATAATGTCTATTTTAGCTCCGAAGCGTAGCATTGATGAAAAATATTAGGATTTGCAAAGTATGAACAAAATGATAATTTTTTCTTGTTCTATTAGATAAATTATTTTCTATAAAATATTGACCTTTTGTGGGGAGGAGCCCTGTTGTAGATGCGCACTCTTTGTAACGTAGTTGTGTGAATTTTGTACATTTTTTTAGTAAGCCCACCTTTTGAAGTTTTTACCGTTCGACTACAGTAAACCTTCTCAGTCAAATGCATTCTTAAAAGTCCACAGTTTAGGTTTAGTTCCTCTGCAACAATACCACCCGATTCCAGGACTTTGGAAAGTTTCACCACATTTTCTACCGGAATTGCCTGCATGTGCCAAATAATTGAATTTTTTTATCAATTTTGGGCATTCCTTAAGACGTACAAATCTACCTACTCCAAAATGTTATGCTTAAATATGCCCCCATTTTTGTACTCTTCGGCGGATAGAATATCATTTTGAGTGACTTGAATGTTTTCTGATCTGCTAAATGAGTAACTTTCACATCTTCAATCAAAAAAACTTGTAGATCAAGACTGGTATCTATAGGAAAACACCACTTAGTCTTCAAATCAAGGTCTCTTTTATATGAAAGACTTTGCTACTTTTTATAAGTTTTTCTGATCCAGTTTAAACCTCAAATGAAAGTTAGTTCTGTTCACTAAAACTTAATGTATTTTACTACTACATTTTTGTGTAATTCTCCTCTCTATATTTCTAAAAGTGCTTTTCGGCCTTTTTTTAGAAGATCTGTCTCTTACAAAGGTGCATTTTCAACCTTCTCTATGAAGTCCCATGTTGGTTTCCTTTGAGGATCTTTATATCAAGATCGCTGTGATCCTCTCAAAAAGGGTGATGACATGGGCTTCTATTAGCAGACTTTTCAGATCATTTATAAGTAGGCAATTCTTGACTTCTTTAAGGGATCAAATGTCTTCTTTAGGGAAAAGACTAATGTCATAACAATAATTTTCATTATCTTTAAGGCGAATCTGATCATCTTTAGGGAGGGCGTTTCACCTTCTGGAAACAAAATCTCTTCTATACCCTTGTTTCCACTCAACAAAATAGTTGGATGTCGCATAACCCATTACAAAATAATGTGAACAAGTCATCTCTTGCATTACCAATCAGTTGAAGAATAATAAGTAGTCCTTTAATAATTTACAAAACAATACTCATATATTCTATTTTATACATTTTAAGTAATGGGTGGGGGTATGCGGTTGTTCCACTTCCGAATTGAGGGTTGTGAGTTCAAGTCTCAACTTCACCGAACTTTAAAAAATAGTATGATTTGATGATGAATATTTCCAATTCGAACCACCGACCTTTGATTTTGTGGTCAGATGTACCGCCGCCGTTACTTATTTCTGGGTAAGATAAAAGTAACTTATTGTGGCTTGCATTGTAACCCATAATGTTTTAATTTCCAATGCTTTGTTGTCATTACTTTTGGCCTACTGGTGTGTAGTGTGTAATAAAGAAAGTATTTAGTATGTAGTTGTATTGAAAATGGCACACGTTCCCACATAATTTCTGAGTATTCCCAATGTTTTAATTGATAAATTTGGGAATCCTTCGTCCTCTAGTCCATTTCGATTCTGCTTAAATTTTACGTAGTCACTACGGCAACTCTGGTTGGCCAGTTTTAACTCTCTTCTGTTATTTGTCGACAATTTTGTTTTAACTTTTTTTTTGCGGCTGTTGTGTTAAAGCTGCATTTCATTCTACGTTTACAGACAACCACTTGTTTCTATTTTTAGATTGGCGTTTTTTTGCGGTTGCCTGTTTTTTGTTTTTTTGCTGGTGCTGCTGTTTTTATTTATTTGTGTACTGTTGTTGTTGTTGTTGCTCTTTGTTCTGTGCCCTTTTGCGCTCTCTTAACCGAACGACATGCCGATATTTCAGCTGGCATTTCATTCCGCCTTTTTCTTCTGAGTGGTGCCATGGGTGATTGGGTGGGGGTCTGTGGAGCATTGTGTTGCTCGTTGTTGTCTACGTTCCGTACTCCAGTCGGTCGACGAAATTCATTGATTGTGTCGCGCCACTCCACTCAACGCCACCAACAGGTTATGACGGAGAGGAATGTCTTTGTTGAGATTTGATTTGTTGTGGTGTTGTTCAGCAGTGGTTCGTTCTGTCCGCATGTCTGCTGTTGGCGAATGACGCATAACTGGTGCTGAATTGGAGGGGGAGGGGAAAAATCCCCCCCTTCTGTCCCCCAACAAAATCATCAACAACAATAGCAACGCGAAAAAATAAGAGATGACAACATAAACAAAACGTGTTTTCTCTCTTCAGATCTCCTCCGCACACAAATGACAACAAAAAGGCCAAACATGTTGCGCGTGATCCACACATTTTTGTTGCTCTTTAAACTTGGGAGAAATATTTAAAATTATTTGGAAAAAGAGTAAATCGGAACACTTATTTTCAATTGAGACATTTTATATCGTGTTTACCGCCTTTAGTTACATACAGTCATTTTAATTATAGCCATAAAAACGTACGACATGACTTTAAACAATAGTCTGGTGTTTTATAGGAAGGTTTTTACATCTACCCACTACCATTGGAACCTGGAAAGTTCGTTAGAACTATCTCCAACTACATATTTCATGACCATAGTTGTGGGAGTGTTTTAAAAGAGGACCTTAATCTTCCATGAGAAGTCTCTCTAGTCTTCTATGAGCGGACTTTCTGATATTTTATGTATTAAGCCTCTGAGAAGACCTTCTGGTCTTCTGTGAGAAGATCTTCTGTTCTTCTATGAGAAGACCTTCTCTGTTCTTCTATGAGAAGGCCTTCTCTGGTCTTATATGAGAAGGCATTCTCTTTTCTCCTATGAGAAGACCTTCTCCGGTCTCCTATGAGAAGACCTTCTCTCTTCTCCTATGAGAAGACCTTCTCTGGTCTACTATAAGAAGACCTTCTCTGGTCTCCTATGAGAAGACCTTCTCTGGTCTCCTATGAGAAGACT